AAAAATTAGGGCAACAACAAAATTTAAAGGATTATTGAGTTTATCAACTCAACTCAAGTGACCAATGGCATATGAATAAAAGCTACCAACTGTAGAAATACCAAATAAAATCAGAAAAATGCCACCATAACCACTGATTGCAAAGGCAAGGATCAGTTTGATTGCTAAAGCCTCAAGTCTAGTTTTACCTAAAAAAGGAGAGAATGTAATTTACAAGATACCTAAACAAGACCATCTGAAAGATGCATAAGGATTAACATCAAAGCCAAATATCATTTTACATTCTCAAGCCAATTTACCATTAAAGAAGAGACTGTATGACCTTATATTTCAGTTAGAAGAAGAGGAAACAAAACACATCCACAAAATAATACACAATTATTACATATATTCAGTATATACATGCATGTGTGCTGTAGCATAAAAATCCCATTCTTCTGTAACGAAAGGAAATATCCAATACCAGCTATATCTTCAACCTGGTCGGCCTTAACAATGTGAACTCCACCCCTAAAACCACTTTTAAATGTTCCCAAGCCTCGACCACCCGCCAAAATTTGGCTTTTAACTACTAGCTGCACCATAGTTCATCAATTTCATCAATTATCACACATCAGAAAATTTCAGATAGATATAATTTCACTAAAACTTCAAATTTCATAGTTCCAAAACTGAACAAATATCTTAGCATTATTTCCCAACACAACTCATAGCAAGTGTATTTGAATAGAAGTCAACAATCAAAAAAAGAGTTCCCGAATTAGGATGATTTCCACAACTTACCTCATTTTCACCAGGAAAAACATCCTGGATTGCTTTTTTAACTTCATCAACAGAAGAAACAGCCACTCCTTTTGGCACATTAACGCCATATTTGCCCATCAAGTCGGCTCCCTGATTTCAAATAAGCACAATCCATCTATCTCTTTCAGGATCAAGTAATTCTAAAATAAATAGATAACAAGAATAAGAAAGTACGGCAGCAAGATCGGAATGATATATCGAATAAATTAAATAAAAAAAAAAAGCGGATAGACCTGATATTCATGGACGTTGAGGCGGCGGAGTTGCTGTTGCTGCCATTTTCCGGCGACAGAGAGTGAGCGAGATACCAGCTTGTTGAGCAATCCTCTCATTTCTCCTCTGGATGGAAGATTGAAGGCTTCGAAGGAGTGATTTGAACAACGAGATCTACAGCAGACCCTTGAGGGAAGGTCGGAGTCGGTAGGGCTTCGGCGGCGCGGCGGCAGCAGAGGCGATCGGGTCAGTGGACAACTGAGACTGGACCCTAATTTTTTTATTCTTTTATTGCACTTTTGACCCCTTTACTTTTCCCTTATTTCTGGAAAAACCCCTTCGTTTAATTTATTAAATCATTCCGCTCACTGTGATTGTTTTTTTTTCTTTTCTTTTCTTTTCTTTTATGAAAAACCTGGGATTTTTTTTTATTTTTTTTATTTTTTTGCCCTTAGCGTCTGCCATTGAATATTCAACGCCGTGTTTGGCAACAAAATAAACAATTTTTTTTATTTATTTTGAAAATTTTTGAATAATACAACTCAACCTATCCACAAGCATGGCTAATTTACAAAAGTTTGGGGATACGGAAGTGTTTGGTATAGTAATTTAAAATTAATAGTGACAAACAAGAATATTTGAACAATTAATAATAACAATTATCAGTATTAAATTAGACAAAATTGTCTGCTTCAAATTGTTATGCCAAACACCCTCATGATAGAGGTTTAGCATCGACTAGCAATGACAATGGGGAAGATCATAAAAAATAGGTAAGTGAACTTTACAATCTTAACAGAGTAGTCGGATACATTTACAATGAAATTTTGTGTAAGTTGGAACAAGTGGCATTTAAAAATATATACATAAATTCTGGTCCTGGTGCATATGATTTACTCTAATTTTTTTCCTAGTGTGAAACTCCGGTTGGTGATGGAAAAAAAAAACAGGGGAACTAGATAACAGCATCCCATACAATTGTCCTAGATCACTTTGAGCACCAGAGATTCTCTGGCCTGAGAGAAGTTTGGTTTGGTTTGGTATTTGCCTGAATCAAAGAAGAGATTATTCTCAGGTCAAAGGGATCATAAACACATAATTTCTAACGAAAGCACATAATGAACAACAGAACAATAAAATGGTCATAAAGTATGTACCTGTTATTAACAGCTTGTTCAGCATATCCAGACCTAATTCGATGAAAATCTGGCTGCCTCATCGATCCATGAAGGTCTCTTTGCGTTATAGTAGAAATGAGCAATCATCTGAACCAATTCATCAGCTGTCCGAAACTCTGCAGAGGCCATCATTGAAATGTAACATGGTGGGAAAGGAGTGTGCAATATGTTGACAAACTGATCTTACCTTTCTCCCTGTACAGGATCTTGTTTCCCCGTAAGAACAAAATTTGTGGGCATTCCTTGGCTTTAAGAGCATATGCCAAATCCCTCTCGATATTGATGTCTAACTTCACAGCCTGTTCCAGAAAAATTCCTAGCATTACAAGAACATCCAGAAACATTTTTGAGGAAATGCATATCTTTCCTAAATATTAAAAAAAAAAAAAAAAAAAAAAAGCATGTTGTTCCAGAAGCCACCAAAGTTTTTTCCCTTTTTTTGGCTAGCATACATTATCAATATGGAACTTTTAAAACAGAGTTGAACTTTTCCTTCATACTGGCTTCTTATCAACCAGATAGAAGACAATAAAATTTCTTTCACATTGTTTGCCTGCAGTGTATGACTAAGTAAGTAAATCTTGAAACTGAAAAAATTGGAAAAGTGGGAGACAGGGCTTATCATACCCGAGGAGGCAATCTATCTTTGGCATTCCAATATACCTTGATTGCGTTCTCCAGCTCTTTCAAAGTCTTCCAGTTATGGCTTGCCCTATAAACAAAACAATGAACAGAGCTCTTTCATCATAAAACAATGAAAAAGAATGAAAACAACTATCCTTGACTACCGATCTAGTACTAATTTATTATGGGACCACACTTCACCAGTAGGATAATTTGAAAGTAAAGTTATCATATCTGTCTACCAGCCAACTTATAGAGGTTAATAATATCAACATAAAATGATAAGAAGCATTTGCAAAGAGACATTGGACAAACAATGAAACTCACGAAAGTATGAACAATAAAGAATGAAGTTGAAAAGAATAAAAACAAGCAGCACGAGAAGACAACATTATCTCAATCTCAAACTCTGGCGGTTTTATCTAGCAATATTTTCACTACTCTTTAACCATCCAAAACAATCAATACTTTCTTCAAGTTTCTCTTGACTCTAGTGCCTACCATTGGAACCCTTGATATACGACTATATAATCAATCTCATATCACCTTAATCCCCATAACCTTTCATTGTAATCTTAAACAAAATCAGCGGCTCAGACAGTCAGATACCCAAAATTATATACACAAATCTTGTACAAACCCAGAATTTCCAATGGCAATTGAAATTAATACAGCAACTAAGATATAGGGAAAACGCACCTGTCATATCTCTCAAAGACAAGAACAATAAGTGGGCTCGGATGGAAAGCAAAGCTCTCCCACTCTAGACAATTGATCTCCTTTACCCAGCTATCATCAATCTCTCCTTCCCAGTCAACCTCAAAACCATCTTCTCCCACAACATTCTTAATTGAGTGCTGATCAAAATACTCTGATGCTCTCACTCCCCATCCAACATCTGCATCCACTGGCCAATCCGGATCCTCCTCCTCCACCACCATCTTCCTTCCTCTTCTACCAGCAACGTTACCATCTCCATCCTCCACCTCCTCATCACCATCCTCCACCTCCTCATCACCATCATCATCACTACCTTCAGAATCAATATCATCTTCAACTCTATCCTTCAGTACCTTCTCCTTATCCAGAAAAAGCTCCGGGTCCTTCTCCCGGATTGATTCAAACGTCTGTTCAAGCTTGTCCCGTATGAAGTCTTCAACAGAAACAGCTTCACTCCTACGCCCACGTCTCGGCTTCCTTGGAATGGTTGTTGGGAAACTCTGATCAGCACTTTCATCCCCATTCTGGGAATTTTCCGTTTTCCGGCGACGGCTTCCTTTTACAGCTTCAGATTTACACTTGGAACTAACTTTGGGGTCCGAATTGGGTTCTCTTGAAACAGAAAAGCAAGTAAAGGACTTCGAAATGCGGCTATGGTGTACGTAAGAGGGAAAGAAAGCATATGAACGACGAAGAGTACCGGAAGTACGGCTAGAAATCGGATTTATGTGAGAAATTGACGAGAAGGCGTCTTGTTTAGGATCAAAATTGACTGCAGAAAGAGGGAAAAAGGGATTCGGAGCAATACATGATTGAAGGAACAACATTTGATTTTTTTTTTTTTCCCTATTCAACCCAGCAATACCGAGCCTCTCTCTTTATCAGAATTCCGGATAAATTTTCCGGCAACTCTTCCTCCTCCGGAGGGGAAGATTATTTCCTTCCGCTGCAGTCTGCGGCTCTGCAAAACCTCTGTCCGCCTTGGCGAAGAGATGAGGTTTTAGCCAATGGTCAGCTGGATCATTGCTGTAAGGTAATTGGGCTTTTTTTCTCAATGAATTTGGTTCACTTATGGGCTTGAAGTGAAGCCCATTTCTCATTTTCAATATTTATACACTTCTGAAATGATAGCGTAAAGTCTTCTCTCTTTTTTTTTTTTTTTTCTATTTTATTAACTATATAATTTTTGGATATTTTACTTTCACCTTCTATATTTCACTAAGACTCATTTAAAATTTTACTATTTTCATTTAGAGTTTCATTATATTTCATTCATAATTTCACTTAATTTTATTTAATGACTCACTTAGTTCTATTCAATGATCATTATAACCCTCTCTTTACCTTAGGTTATATATAGGCTTACAATGTTATATAAATGATATATGGTGAAATGGAAGAATAAAGGCTCATCTTTCTCAAGCTTTCTTATTTACCACACTTTCTTTTTTCTTCTTTTGTCACTATCTTATCTTGTCTTTATATATATTTTTATTTTTGCCCCACTCAAGTGTCTCTTATTTTATAGCACATTTTTCCTTTTAGAAAAATTCAGTTAAAATGTTTGATAAAATGAAGTCATCACAACAAGACAACTCAAGAAAAGATCAAGATATTATATATATATATTTTTTAAAAAAAAACTTTAGTGTTAAGATTTAAGATAATATTTTAACTAATAAAAACTCCATACTTCAAATTAAAAGTTTTAAATTTAAACCTTAAACTATTTAGAAAAGAAAGAATTATCATAATTGTATAGTCATAAGATCTATAGAAAAATGCAAACTTAGTATATAGTCTTAAATGCAATAGATTCAATAATCTAGTAATGTATTAAATTTTTAAAGATGATAATTCAGATTTTTTTTTTTCATTTTAAATTGCATAATAGAAGGTAACTCTCCCCATTATTTAACCATGTATGCAATGTTACTTAAATATGACTCTTATTTTTGAATTCTTCTGTTGTGACTCATTGGTGGCCACTGCAGCCCAACAGGACTACCGATAGATTACACCCCTGATCAATGTTCGAACCTTACGAGCAGATACTAACCTAACTTTTAACCATTTTCTCTATCAAAAAAAAAAAAAAGAAGATATATGACTCTTATTTTTATTAGAAGGAAATCACTGATTGATAAGTTGCTTAGGTCATTAGCATTCAATTTTTTTTTATTTGTTAACACAGATTTGAATGAAATTAGTGAGATACACTAATTTATTTCTATTTAGTGGAATAAATTTTTTATAAGAATTTTTATTTGACTGTGAAATAATATGAATAAGTATAATGTTTTTAACTCAAGACAGTGGAATAAATGAATAAATAGATTACGGTAATATTATAGGTATAATGTTTTTAAGTAAAATAGTATTTAAAACAAGACAGCATTTTTATTTATTTTGAATTTTGTAATGTTAGATAATTCTCTATTATCTCTTAATTCACTACATTTATATTTCATGTAATTCAAACCAATATCTATTGCCCTACTTAAAGAAGATATTATTATTGAACCAATTAAGATCGTTGGCAAATATAATATAGTATTAAATTAGTCTATGTCTATATATATATATATATATATATATATCAATTCATTAGGAATGTCTAACTCACCACACTTACATACTATGAACTTGAATCCAAAATCTATTGCTTCAATTTAAAAAAAAAAGAAAAAAGAAAAAAGAAAAAAAAAGGATTACCAATAGACCACTTATATCAATAGCAAATATGACAAAATATTAGATTAATATACATTAATATATTAGAAATGTCCAGTTGTCCACGCCAAGTCGGTAAAAGAAACAGGGTCTCAAACTAAAATTATTCATTTGCAGCCGATCTTCTAGCTCTAGACATTGACTTACAATTCCCCACAATTTTTTCATTTTTGGATGTTCTACAATTTCCTTCCCCACATATGCACAAGTCTTTTTCTACCAAAAATAAAATACCCAAGTCTTTCCTTTTTTTTATATGTATCTCTCTCAAGGACATGTTAGGTTAGAGCTAAACTTTATTGTTAATGTATTATACAAAAAAGTTAAAAAGTATTATATAAAAAGTTAGTAATTTTTATTATAAAATTTTCTTAAAATGTTATTGGGTTTTGAATTTTTTTTGTATCATTTGATAAGAAATTAATACATCCATTCTGAAATAATAGGTTTTTTTTAATTTAAAATTTGTCCAAAAGTTATTTTTTATTTTAAGGAAGATAAATATTTTTTTTACTTTAATTTTATAATTATCTCTTAACTTTATTTTACATCTTCTAATTAAAGTAGTTATTTATTTTTATTTTTTAAAAGTTAAAATAAATAAAAGTAAAAATTATCCCAAAATCTTTAATCTAAAGATAAAAATTAGAAAAAAAAATGTTTATTATTTTGGAGGGAATAATAAAAATAAAATTGGCAAGAAAGTTCTCGAATATATCTCATATAAAAAAAGGAAAAACTTTTTTTTTTTCAAAGAGTACAAAAAGAAAAGTTTATTTATTGAGAATTGTATTAAGAAAAATAAAAACTAAAAATATTATTTTTGTCTTTCTTTTATTATAATATTAAGATATAAAAATATATAAATAACATTAAAAGTGGAAAAGTTACAACCAAATACAGAAAGGTAATTAAACCCATTTGCCACATGGATTTCACCTTCCAAGAGTAAAAAACGTTAGACCATATTTGGTATATCACATGAAAAACATGGAGAATTTTCTTTTCCCTATTTTGGCTGAGGCAAAACCTTATCACATTGCTGTACCTAACTTTCACATGTTTACATTTCAAACCTCTTAATTCCGATGGTTAGATATTTCGATAAATAAATGTTGTTTTGTGAATCTAATTTGAAATTTAAGTTTTAAAGTCAGTACTTAAGAAAATTAAATTTTTTAAATATACTATGTTAATATGGGAAGTATGCCCTTAAAATTACTCAAAGAGAAATTGGTCTTAAGCAATACAAAAGGTAGGTCAAAGACACTCTAACTTTAAATAGAAAAAAAAAACACACATACACACACACACAATTCAAACATCTTATTTCTACTTAGAAAAATAATTATTAGACTTTTTAAGTTGTTAAGAACATGTCAACGATCATAAATTTTTTTAGTAAAAATAAAAACTATTAATTTTAAGTTGCATGGTATGCGATTAGAATGATTTAAAAGATAAAAGAAAGTTATATTTCATTATGCAACAAAAATTAAAAAAAATTGTTGAGAACAGGTTAACCTTCGTACATTAGTTGGAAAAACCAATTTAGGTAATTAAACTTTCATAAAATTTTTGTTTTAGCCTTAAAGTTTCTTGCTATTGAATAAGTCCCTATACTTTGATAAACAACACAAAAAAGCACCGAACTAAGAGAGATCAAATTGCATAGGGGAATTGATGAAATGGTAAAGTGTAATGTAAATTATATTGGAAACATAATTTCAAATATCTGCAATTGTGATAGTCCTTGTGAGCCACTCATGGGTGGTGTTTTGCCAAGTGCATGTGGACGAGGTGACTTAAAGGTATTTGCAAGATTACTAGATTTTATGAATTACGAAAATTAAAAATAATTAGTTATAAACAATTCTCAATACATAGCATCAAACAAATTTATACATACAATTCATGCATCTCACTAAGTGAAAAAATGAAAAAGAAGTCAATATTAAAAACTACTATCATGTTAGGTAATGAGTATTTGTTGCTAATAAACATTATTAACGAACTATTTTCGTTGGGATTATGATTGTTGATATTGGCACCCTAAATGTCATGATAATGACGATGTCAATCACCTTAGGTTCAATGAGTATCATTTTGAATCCCTCAGTTAGTAAGTTGGATTCTCTATTAAGGAAATTAAAGTTTTTTCAATTTAGTTAACAAAAAATTAGAGGGGAAGGGATGGGAGGGATTTTCCCTTATTTTGCTTTAATTTATGTTTTATTTTAGTTTACTCAAAGAAGGGGAGGGGAGAGAAATGGAAGGTGAGTTTTGTTTAGTATGGTTATGGTTTGTGGTTTTTTATTTTGGTTTTTATGAAATTTTCAACTATTGAAAACCAAAATTAAAAACTAAAATTCTATAACTTGTTTAAAATCATTTTTAACACTAACAAACTTGTTTAGTAATATTAAAACAACTTTTGTTTCTATTTTTTACTAACTATAATAACATTTTGATAAATAAACATGAATTAAACGAGTTTTTTTATTTGAATTCATAAAATTTAAGAAAAATCAAAATAAAAAACCACAATCACATTAAGTGAGGCTTTGTCAAGTATGAAATTTCAACTAATATCTAAAATTCAAAACTAGTTATTTAATTTTTTTTAATTTAGTATCATTTAGATTTTGGTAACAAGAAAAAACATGAACAATGACAACTTTATTTATTAAACGGGCGTTTAATTTTTATTCACCTCAACATTATAAGAAATAAAGAATAACGTGGGCATTTTACCTAAGTTTAACCATTCATAGAAGACGTTCACTCTAAGGTTGAGGATTCTAATACAGGGTTGGGCATTTTGCGGTACGGTAATTCTATTGCTCCAAAATTTTTATAAAACAATTCTTGTTTAGTTGGTGAATTGGCTATTCTTAGAAATATGTATTTCTTGACTCTTTCATAAGTTGAATGAATATTGCCAATAATCTTTGATGGCTGATTTCATGATATTAGCAATATTTGTTAAATTTTTGAAAAAAAAATACTCATTAAATTTAGGGAAGAAACAACATATTGCTAAGAATAGAAAATCCACCAACCAAACAAGCAGATCGCAATTGCCATTACTGACAAAAACTTGAATCCAAATTCACCAAAAATCACAATCAAAACAAAAGAAAATTCATAAATTGCAAAATTTAAAAGAAAAATAGCAAAATATCAAAAAACCCACACTCATATTCACCACAAACCTCCCTTTTTTTCTTTTTTTTTAAAGAAGGATATGTTTGGTTTAAGAGAACTAAAGAGGGGAGGCATAGATTTTTTAATTATCAAATTGAAATAGGCAAACTCTACATTGAGACCCCAAACTTACCACAAATTCTCAATTAAGTTTTAGACTTTTATTGAAGCAAATAAGTTCATGAATTTATCGATTTAAGAAATTTCATCCATCTTCTTTACAGTAAACTTAACATCTGTTTGTGCATCACTTGCATAGACAGAGTATTAATATGTCATTGCCTACATAGCGAGTATTAATATTTTTTGTGCAAACAAGTTACAAATGAGCGTTAAGTCAGTTATAAGAAGGAGGGTTAAATTGTCCAAATTAACAAATGTAATGATTTATTTGTTTCAATAAAAATTTAGGACTTAATCGAGAATTTGGATAAGTTTAATGGCTTAAGGGTTTTTGTCATTGAAATATCTAAAAATAGTATAATTTGATTAATTAAAAAATTTATCTCTCCCCTTCCTTTCTTTCCCCTCAAACCAAGTACCAAATCTACTAATAATTAAGATCCAATAGCCAAAAAGAAAATTGAGGATTTGTTTAAGGGTTTGTCTAAATTGTACGGGTATAAGTTAAGAGTGTAATTATTATATTTTTTTATATTAATTATTATTAAAAAATGCAAAAACAATTTATTGTTAGGCTATGTAAACCATTTTAATTAAACAATTATTTAA